AAGACCTAACCACAACAGCATTCTACCCACTTGTGATTCCAAAAAACTGGTATTCAGGTACATACTACCTCCAACTGTGGAGGTAGAACACAAGTGAACACCTGATGTTCTTCCCTCCTTCCACCAATTTATCTTCACAGCACCTTTGTGGTGTTCAAGGTCACCCAATGAGCTTTATTCCCTGAGCAATAATTGGAACATGGGTATCTCTGGCCTAACTCTTGACACTCTATCCAGTATACTGCACCAGCTATAGTCTAGCTAACAATATATATTTAAAGTAATTGTGTGCATTTCTGTCCACTTCTTAACAATGTTTTTGGAAATTCTGTGTCTAGTTGGAGTAAGTCTAGTTTTTCTCCTGGGACACTAGTGCAATGCAGAGACTGCTCTTGCAGTGAACCCTCTGCCCCAAGGATGGGAAACCTGTATCCCTCCAGATGTTGTTGGACTACACATTCCACCATTGTGGACCAGACCATTGGCTGTGCTGGCTGGGGCAGATGGGAGCTGGAGTGCAGCAACATCTGGAGGGCCACAGGTTCCCCTTCCTTGCTCTTCACCACAAGGTTAAAGTGTGTGTGGTGCAGGGTCTGAATTGGCTGAAATGCCACATCTCCAGATAAGTGAATGTGCCCTTACTAGTAAGCTAAGCCCTCTGTTACTCAACAGCTGCCTTCCTCCATGCCTCTTCATGACTGTGAGCCAGCCATCTGCCCTGCTTTAGCTTATTCTGAACATTTTTTTGCAAACTCAGGGTTTTCCTGTAAACTGTGTGCAGCTATTAATTTGTTTGCACGTCTATACATTACAGGCATGTTTCTTAGAAACCAGCATGTCTGTGGGATATAATTACTGTGCTTTGCATTTGGTTCGAGTTCTAAATGTGGGAACATTTATTTTCTTCTGAGTAGAGGATGTATAATGACATGCATTGCTTTTATGGGCATGTGCGTTACTTTGCTAAGTTACTCATGAGGAGGTAAGCTAAGAGTTGTACTGACTCTCCCAAGCAAGTGCTAATAAAAGCACTTGCTCATACACCACTCCAAACTGTAGGTACCTTAGCTCCTTAAATGTAGGCTATTCTAGAAGTAATGAAAATATCTTTATTGGAGATGGATGTGACATGTTCACTCTTTTAGTATCTAAAATAGCCCATTTCAGTTGATTTGTTCTCTTCCTGTACACAATGGGCTGACTGTATTCTGTCTCCCTCCTCTTCCTCCTCACCGTCCATCACTGTTGCCCCTGCATGTAGTAGCAACCTGACTATCCATGCTAGCAACTAAGAAACTTAATCCAAAAAGTGTACAAGTCTTAATATGCAAAAAACTTCACCCTTTTCTAGCCTGTAACCACCCATGGATTGACTGAGGTGGGATTTGTAGCTGCTCCCAGGAACATAATATCTATGCTTATATAATACCATCTGCATTGTTTAATGTTGATACATAATCTATAAGCATACATCTGGCACCACTGTAGGCTGAGAAGGTGTGGTTTATAGATCACACACAGACCTTCAAATTAGGGTTCAGCATTGGAACTCCTGTCCCAAATGAGTTATTCAGTGACCTCCCCAGTGGTTCTGTAGCTATCTCCTTCCCTTACTCTACAGATCTAGACCAGCAACCAAGTCTCCTTAATTCACCCACTTAATTCCTTTCCTTTATTGCAACATGCATTTGTACCAGCAATAGCAAGAACAAGCTGTAGCTAAATACTAAATGTTCTGTTCAGGTTCAGACTCTATTAGAGTATCCTACCTATGAACACAGGATAATCCCTACTGGATCAGATCAAAGGCCCCTCTAGTTCAGCATTGGCAGAACATGAGGACAACAGCCATTTCCTGCTGCGGTTCCCCACAAGCTGGTACTCGGGACATACTGCCTCTGATATGGAGGTAGTATACAACCATAATATACTGTTTATAAAGCTCAATGATGGCACTACATGAATAAAGAAATAACCATGGATAGTTGCTACTGATAGCCTTATCCTCCATGATATCTTCCTTCTTCTTTATATACATAAAAATGTAACGCTGTCATCTCACAACTCCCATTGGAAGATTTGTAATGACTTCTTTCAATCCTGAATTTGCATGAACTCAGGGTTGGGAAGGGGAGCAGATGAGAAGGCAGATTTTAAAATGGTAGTTTTATTCAATAGCATGCCCCCCTTACCCCTCTTCTTCTAAACTGAAGAGGGTAACCTTTTTCAGACTGAGTCCTAAATTATGGGGGCCCTTGAAGGCATCTCAGAAACATTTTTGCATCACAGAATCACAACAGGGGATCCATGGAGTTTGTCAGTTTGTTTGTTTTTTAAACTCATCCTGTTCTTATTAAACATGCCAACTCTTGAATTTGGTGATACCTTGCTTGATTTATGGTATTCGTTCTAGCTAAGCTTCTGTTATTGTGGTTTTGAGTAATCCCCAATGTTCTGGAAAGAGCTGACCCTCTTGACTTTCCCGCATTCTTAACTCCAGATCATTTACAAACAAGTTGGAGAGCACTGGTCTCAAAACGGATCCTTGGGGGACCTCGCTGTTTATAACCCTCCATTATGAGAACTGTCCATTTGTTCCTACTCTCTACTTCCTGTTCTTTAACCAGTTATTGATCCATAAGAGGACCTCTCCTGTTATCCCATGATTGTTTGCTTAGGTGTCTTTGGAGAAAGACTTCATCAAAAGCTTTTTTGAAAGCCCAAGTAAACAGTGCTTACTGAATCCCCCCTATCCACATGCTCATCCATAGCCTAGTGAGACAGGAACGACCTTTTCAGAAGCCTTGTTGAGTTTCAGCAAAACTTGTCCTTCCATATTCTTGATCATTTTTTAAATAAGGCTTTCCAACAATTTATCTAGAACAAACATTAAACTAAGTAGCCTATAATTTCCTGGATATCTATCTATCTATCTATCTATCTATCTATCCATCTATCTATATATGTGAGAACATGAGAACAGGTCTGTATTATGTATTGGTGTGAAATAAGAAGCTGCATAATTGCAAGTGCGGCAAAGAAGAACAGCAGTATGTTTGCTCACTTCCCAGTTCTCTTGGCAGAGACCAATCTTAGGGACCAGTTACGTATTTTTGTTAGCAGATCAGCAATTTCACATTTAAAAACTCTCAGATGGATAGCATCTGGAAGCAGTGATTTGTTCATAAGAATGTTATCTCTTGTCACAACTATTTGTATCAGTTCTTCAGACTCACTTTCTTTAGAAGTCAACCCAAGCACAGTATTTGCCCTACATTTTTTGCAGTGAAGACTAGCAAAATTATTCATTTAGTTGCTCTGCAGTCTTCTTTTCCTCCTTTAGCACACTTTTAATTCCCTTGCCATCCAGTGGTCAACCATCTCCTATCCTTCTGAAGCCTTTAAATATACAGTGGTACCTCAGGTTAAGTACTTAATTTGTTCCGGAGGTCCGTACTTAACCTGAAACTGTTCTTAACCTGAAGCACCACTTTAGCTAATGGGGCCTCCTGCTGCCGCCGCGCTGCCGGAGCACGATTTCTGTTCTCATCCTGAAGCAAAGTTCTTAACCTGAAGCACTATTTCTGGGTTAGCGGAGTCTGTAACCTGAAGCATATCTAACCTGAAGCGTATGTAACCTGAGGTACCACTGTATCTTTTTGTTATTCTTAATTATTTTAGCAATATGCATTTAGCAATGACAATACATTAATAATTTGGTATTCTTATTTGCATCCCTTTTGCATTTTTTGTCAGCTTGTGTTACTTTTATCAAAGTTTATGTTCCTTTTTGTTCTCTTCATTGTAACCAAACTTCCATTTTCTGAAAGAAGCCTTCTTGTCTCTAATCTATTAGCTTCATTGACTCTGCTCATTAACCATGCTGGCATTCTCTTGAACATAGTGGTACATTTTCTGATCTGGGTATCCATTCTAGCTGAGCTTTTATTATTGTGATTTTGAATAACATTCAGTGGTTCTGGAGACAGCTGACCTTCTTGAATTTCCCTTTCAACTTCCTTTATACTGATCTGTCGTAGGATTTTGTTTTTGTTTTTTTTAAAGAAATACTATATTTTGGAGTAAAAAATATTGAAGTAAAAAAAATTTGGGCTAACTCTACTATAATCATAGGCACTGTTGTTTTCCACATTATCAGAACATAGATTTATCTAATTCCTAGTCTATGCGTGAGTATGTGTGAGTTGCCAATTATTCCACACTATCTCTTTTTGAGGCTTCTCTGATCTCATTCTCCATCTCAAGAATACCCTGAGCATTGAAAATTTAAAATAGTGTTGATGTTAATAGAACTGAATTTTCATTTCAGAAGGAAAGCACCCTAGATAACTGCTGTAGCATAGTGGTTAAAGACTAGGCTGTGAATCAGGAAGTCCTCGGTTCAAATCTTGCCTCTGCTAGGAAATAATTAGCTGGCCTTAAGGCAAGCCATTTTTTACATCAATCCCCTCACCCCAGTAGAAGCTGGTCAGTTTGGGAGAAAGAGGCACTGCCCCACCAACCTCAGTCTGCTCTCAGCTAGTCATCATGTGGCTACCTTCCTACTCCCTGCCCATGGAGTGGCACTGCCTGTCAGCTTCCTGCTCCTCCATATTCCTTGTAGAACTCATCAGGGGAATTGGGGCAAACCTGGAATTAATTGACTTTGCCTGTCATTTGGCTCTGGCACCATCTACTGTTGGCCTCCCTGCCTCCTGCCCTGCCAGTCCCAAAGAGCACCAGCCACCAGCGCCGCTTCTTCCTCCCTGTTTGCAGTATGAGGGATAATACTGAATTGCCTTACAGGGTTGTTTATAAGGATTTCAATGAGATAATGCATGTTAATTACTTTGAACCCTCGCAAGTGCTGTACAGATGTTAAGTATTATTATTATAGGTTCTAATCAACTAAGTTCTTCTCAGGGTGGACCCACTGAAATAATTGAACCTAAGTTAGCAATAAAATAAAAAATATTCCTTCCAGTAGCACCTTAGAGACCAACTATGTTTGTTATTGGTATGAGTTTTCGTGTGCATGCACACTTCTTCAGATACACTGAAGAAGAAGTATCTGAAGAAGTGTGCATGCACATGAAAGCTCATACCAATAACAAACTTAGTTGGTCTCTAAGGTGCTACTGGAAGGAATTTTTTTATTTTGTTTTGACTACAGCAGACCAACACGGCTACCTGTAACTAAGTTAGCAATGCCCATTAACTTCAGTGGGTTTTCTTTGAGTAAGCCTAGTGTTAGATGCAACCCTGTTTATTACACATGTGGGGAGAAAATGCAACAACACCCAGTATATTAAGAAACAAAATTGTGGATAGAGAGAGCCAGCATGGTGTTAGTGGTTAGTGCTGGACCAAGGACCTGCCCTGCCCAGCCATGAAACTCATTTGCGTGGCCTTGGGCTAGTCACTCTCTGAGTCTAACCAACCTCAAAGGGTTCTTGTGCAGATAAAATGGGGAAGAAGATGGCCATATACACCATCTTGAGCATATTGGAGAAAAGGTGAGATATAAATGCAATGAATACGTAGTAGAGTATCTTTATATATCTATATCTATATATATATAAAAACATAGAACATGGATTCAAGTATGATTAGGATCTACTTTTGCTGTTGATGAGATAAATGTACACTGTGTGCGCAGTCTTGTGTGCTTAAACAGATAGACCTTGTCTTTTTAATTTTTTTAAATGTGATTCTTCTTCCTGCATCCAGCTTGTCTTTTGGGGACACAGAATTGCAGTGGGAAGGGGTGGGACAGCACAAGGATTACCTTTGTTTGGAGGGGGAGCTGGGAGCCCAGTTTATAAGCACAAGAGCACACACAGTCTGGCCAACAGACCCTCAAGCTCAGGAAAAGTCAAAGGTCAGTTTGGAAAGTGATTTATCGCCAGCCATTCACTCATGGTTTCTGAGAACTGAGTAAAAGGCATAGGGCAGAGAGGGAGAAGGATATGAATCAGAGGAAGAAATGAGGACACAGATCACTTCTGTGTGCTGTTTAACTTTACAGGACTTACCCCCCACAACACACACACTTAATGACAGCAATAAAAACTGGGGCCAGCCTATGGCACCCACTAAGACTGTATTATGGCATGCCAGCCATCTTAAGTTGGTTAAAGAATCTGATAAAAGCCTAGATCAAGGGGTCTTAGCCATTTGTGTGCCCAGCCCCCTTGGCCAAACAAAAGCAGAAACAATACTCCCTTTCTATACACAAGGCCTCACAAGAGCCTATCAAGCTGCCTTCTGTCAAGTCAGACTTTTGGTCCAGGTAGCCAAGCTCTGTCTACTCTGTATAGCAGTGGTTCTTCAAAGCCTTGGGTGGAGGTCTCTCCCCTGCAACTTAACAGTTCAACCTAGTGCCTTCCACATGCAGGGTCTACCCTGTTACTGAACTATCCATCTCATCTACTGAAGGTGGGTGGCAATGCATTAACCACCAAGGCCGCGTTTAGATTGGTTGCATACAGCGGGGGCCTTCTGAATGTTGTTGGACTCAGCCCCACTCAAGATGTTAAATGGTCAAGGATGATGGGAATTGTAGTCCAGCAACAATTTGGAGGGCTGCGACTTCCCCATCTCTGGGTTACACTCTCTTTTGCCCCATATCTTCTTAGTCCTAGCCACTATGCATTGGTATCAGTATCAGTATTGGTATAGGTATAGGTGTAGGTGTAGGTATAGGTATAGGTAAAGCCTGCAATTTATGCACATTTAACATTCAGCTTTATGTGCTCGGCAATTTATAACTTTTTTAAAAGAAGTGAGCAGAAAGGGGGGGGCATCTGGGGAGAAAGACTTTGGCAATCCCACCTGCCATTACACCCAGTGTGTTTTGACTAGAAGTGATTTTCGCTTTAGGCACAATCCCCGGAGTGTAACCCCTGCGTAAGCTGCAGGCTTACTGCAATGTGTGTGTGTGTCCCCTGTACTGCTTCCAAAAATGCCTAGGCTTTGGCAGGTCTTCAGGGGAATGGAATTCCTCGGTTGGTGGCTACCTGCCAAAGAAGGCTCTCTGCTCATCCTTGTGGTCTTGATTTGGTAAGCTGAAGAGGGCATCCCCAGTCACTCTTAAAGGTCATAGTGGAGTGTCAGAAAGATAAGGGCAGCCTCTTGGGTATGCTGGACCCAGGCCATTTAGGGCTTTGAATGTCATCCCTAACATCTTGGATTGGGTCCAGAAAGGGATAGGGAGCCTTTGGTCTCTCATTCTGTTTTACGTACAGTGTTTAACTGATCCCTACAGTCCTAAGCATTGGTAACTTCAGAGCACTCTCGTCACTTATCAGTCTTTGCCCAACCATGAGACATATAGTACATCTGCCTATACAGCATACACTTAAAGCTCCCCGCAAAGGTTGAGAACTGTAGTTTACCCTCCACAAAGCTGCAATTCCTAGCACCCTTAACAATCTACAGCTCCCAGGATTCTTGGGGGGCTGGATGTGCTTTACATGTGCTTTAAAAGTATGGTGTGCAAACGGTCTCATCAGGAAAAACAGGTTATATGATGTAATGTGTACTTTGAGCAGTGTGAAAGAGTGTTTTAGATGGAATTCATTGTCACAAGAGGTAGTGACAGCCACTAGCTTAGACGGATTTAAAAGGGCAGTAGGCAAATTCCTCATTAATGACTACTTGTCATAGAATTGTAGTGTGGGAAGGGACCACAAGGATCATCTAGCTCAACCCCCTGCAATGCAGCAATCTTTCACTGAAAGTAAGACTCGAACCCATGACTTTGAGATTAAGAGTCTCATGCTCTACCACCTTGCTACCTTCAGGAGGCAGCTTGCTTCCAAATTATCAATTGTTGGGGGACAACAAAGGGTAGATGCTGTTACCTTTATGCTTTACCTGTGGACTTCCTGATTGGCCACTGTGGGAAGCAGGATACTGGACTAGAGAGGGCTTTGGGCTGATCCAGCTGGGCTCTTCTTATGTTTAGCATTTTTGTTCACTTCCATTTTGCTGCAAAAATACACCAAACTGACGGCGTGGGAAGCTGCCATTCAGCCTTCCTTATGTACAGCTTGGTTATAGAAGCACTCCTGGTGGGAGCCTTAAAATAACCTCAGAAATCCAGCAGTGTAAGGACTTCTGTCTTGGATTTTTGGTCAAGTGTTGTGTGTTGTCAAGATAAATTCTGCCACTGCGTGGATAAAACCATCTCTCCACATTCTTATACCTTGCTTTTTCTATTACAGTTGCTGCATCACTTGTTGAATTTCCTTCATTAGCTCATTCTTTTCATTTCAGTTGTCAAGGGACCAAAATATTTCCTTTCTGTTTTGCTGAGGAACGGGGGAAATGCCACATATTAACTGGCAGACTCTACAGACTTTCTAGTAAGCAGAGGATTTGTGGCTTCACAGTTATAACAGAGATGGGGAACCTGGTGCCCTCTAGATGCTGCTGGACTGTAACTGCCATCATCCTTGATCAATGGCCATGCAATGTCTAGGGGGCCACAAATTTGCTTTTCTCTGTGTTAAGAGTGCTTGGCTTTGACTTGTGAAGAAGGGTGAGTTTGAAGCTCTGTTCAGTCATGATGCTGACTAGCTGATTTGGGTCAAGTTACCCTATTTATCCAAAACTACCTGACACAGTGATTTACTTAAACATTGAGCCCTTGGAGAAAAGACAAGGTAAAACTGTAACAAATACACACACAGGCTTGGTATAACACTAACCTATAGTTTGTTTAACAAACCATAAGTTAACAGCAAGTTGTCCCAAAGACAATTTTTCCAAAGTTTTGTTTGTTTTGCAACTGCTTTTGCCTAGTGCCTTTGTCATTTGTTGACTGTCTGAGATGAGGTAGTCAAACAAACCATGGTTAAGGAAGGGTTCAAGATTCATATATAATGCAATGCCATAGTTAAAACAAACAAATATTCATAAATCAATAAATCATGTCTTCAGGTCATGGTTTGTTGGCAGTAAACTAACCACAATGAAGCTGCTAAGCAGGGTTTACACATAACACTGAACCATAGTTTAATAAAACCATAGTTTATTAAATCATTATTTAGTGAAGTAGGGTAGAGACATATTTAACAGGTGAAACAGAGGTGTATGGTAACATTCCTTCTTCCTTTCCTGTAGTCCTTAATGAAATAATGGAGAATTCCTCTCTCAGTTATGTCAGTTATCAAAATTGCTTGCTATCAAAATTCATTGTGTGTTCCCTGCTTAGTATCATGGTAATGTATCTCTAAATCTAGAGAGCTCCACTTTACACAAATGTTTGCTTATCCAAATGTTTGGAATATTCTCAAGGGCCATTTGGATAAACGATTCTGTATTTGTAATTGCTTGATTAAGGCTAAGCCCAAAGAAAATAGAAACCCAGTTCTCTGGATTCTACAAGAGCCATACATTCTTGGCAACGTCACAAGGAGGCTGTTTGGCAATTCTGCCTAGTCTTCCCTTTCTTTAGATAAACATGGATGGAAGGGCAGGACAAAGCCCCTGCACTAGACAGAGCACATCCTGTTATCTGAATGGTTTGTGAAGTCATGTAGCCAAATAAAGGGACCTCAGCTCCTTGGTAAACCACCTTTGCACATATAGGAACCCAGATTCAATCTCCAGTTCAAATAATATCAAGTATAAGGGTCAGGAAATATCTCTATCTAAGACTTTGGAGAGCCATTGATATTCAGCATATACAACAGACATGTAATTTTATTTTTCACAGCTGTTGGTTTTACTTATATTTTGATAATTTTTTAGGTTAACTGGTTTTTAACATTCAAGTTTATGACTATTTTAATTAACGTTTTATAGTAAACAATTTAGAGGTTATAAATGATTAAGTGGTAACTAAATCCAATTAAATAAAATAAAGTAAAAATAGATGGACTATTCTAAGGCAAGAATAGCAAATATGATGCCTTCCCGATGTTTTTGAATGACAGTTCTCATCAGCCAGCACACAAATGCACATAACACCATCAGCATGTATACAACCATCACTTGGGGAAGGGCTGTAGCTCAGTAACGGCTGAGCTTTGCATACAGAAGGTCCTAATTTAAATTCCCAGCATTTCCAGGTAGGGTTGGGAGAGAATCTTCTCTGAAATCCTGGACAGCCACTGCCAGGCAACATAAAGAATACTGGGCTAGGTGAACAAATAGGAAGCTGCCTTATATCAGATTAGGTTCTATTCTTTCCTTGATTCCACTCCACAACACCAGTTATTTCCAAGAACTGCTTGGAAATTAAACTTCCCCACCGCACCCCACAGGTACACACATGCAGAAAACCCCTACTTGGGAACAAGAGAGGGAGTCATATGGAGGGCAGCAGCCATATTATATTATACATACCTTTATATTTTGTATGTAAGATTATTGCAGTGCCCTGGGTCCTGGCATGCAATCAATGTGAACTAAATGAACTAAGCCTTTGGGATGCTGCGTGTCAGCTTGATGGACTGTTTCCTCCAGGTGCAGAAAGATCCCACTGCAGAGCTGATGAATGCCTGATAAAAGGCAGAGAAAAGTCTCCATCACTAGAAATGTGGTTAAATATTCTGAAGAATTGTACTAGTTTAGTTTGAGTAACTCACGCTATGGGTTGAATTCAAAGCAGTGCTAATGAGTCAATGTAAGCATTTTTACTTTCCTAGTGGAATGATCCTCATTCTCCGTCCCACCCCATCCCATCAGACTTCAGAATTGCCACCTCAAATGTTCCAGAATCATTTCAAATGAAGGAATTGTAAAACCACACACACACAAACATGCCTGCTTGAATTCTGCCCATTATAATCCAGTAGGATGACAAAAGTTTTTAACCTTAGCTTGATCATGCCCACTGTGCTCTCAAGTCTTTGGGTAATGAGATGTGTGCTTTTAAATTTTCTTTACACGTCTAGAGAGGGTCCTTTTTGCTCCTCATAGCTATGGTCTTGCAACCATCAAATGCTGGGTTTATAACTTGTACATCAAGATTAATTTAAGTCGTATCAATGGGGGAAAGCGTATGGTTTTTTTTGTGTGTGCACTGATTAAAAGAATGCTGGCCTGTCCCAAATAACCTCAGTGTCTCATCACTGATGTTTCCCAGAACTGAGGCCAGACAGTTTGTCTTTCATTATGTAGTATTGTCTAAGAAACATTGTTTAACTGATATCGGATGGGAAACTGCGATGGTTCTGAGTGTTGTGCCTAGGGCATGGAAATTCCCATTAACCAAAGCAGTGCAAATTATATATAGCTAGTAAGATCTGTAGGTTACATCTTTCTCCTTTACTCCATCCCCCAAGGGTCAGCGAGGAAATCTCATTCTGGAGAGTACACCACTTCAGCTCCAGTTCCAAGAGCGAAGGACCACCCGTTCTACTACATCAGCAAACAAGATACCTCTGGCACTTAAAAAAGCATTAGTGTTAGGAACTGTCAGTCAGAATCCCACCCTTTTGTAGTCTATCCTACATATTCAGGCCACATGAGCTTTTCTGCTCTGGGGAGACTGACTGGTTCCCATGGGGTGGGGGGAGGAAGAAACTGGAAATGGGTTGTTTGCCAATTCAGATAAGGACCAGTTCTAATTGTTGATGGTTGTTTTTTTAAAAAAAAATCAGCAACATGGTGTGATTTAAAAGAGGCCTTCACTTTGTGTACATTTGCTGTGATGGAGTGAAGGGCTTTCTCTTCCACTCCCCCATCCCCCAAATTCTTCAATTTTGGAAAACTTTTCCATTCTTGGAAAGAACTAATCTAAGGAGGGGGACTTGTGTCTCTCCTGTTGTTGCTGGACTCAAATCCCATCATCCCTCGGCCACAGGGTCAATGGTCAGGGCTGAAGGAAGTCATAGTCCAACAATGCTTGGAGTCTACCTATTCCCTAGTCCCTATCTAAATTATTCTCAACCTTTCCACACCTTGATGTTGCCATTTCCCAAAGTAGGAAATGGGTTATGTAGGAGAGTGAATGTGTTATTTTACAGCTGAACGAGTAAACCTGTCAATTTCTGTTTCTCTCAGTTTCTGATTTTTCCATTCTTAAATTCAGTTCTCCACATTTTCAGATCCGTTTGTAATTTATTGTTATTTTTATTGTCATTATTCATAAGTTTTGAACAGATTTTATGTACGTAGATAGCTTTAATTTTATTAATGTTTAATTGTTTATTTAATTATTGTTTTTTCTATGTTTTTAGTGATTCTTGTTTTTATCTGTAAACTGTCTTGAGTCTTGTAAGGGAAAAAGGCAGGGTATAAATAAATATAGAATGATTATAATTTAAAAAAAAAAAGCCATCATGAAAATTCAACAGCATTTTAGTGTAAATTTCTCCTGAGCTATATGTTACTGTATACAGTTTTGCCTAAGGTAATTTATTTATATGTAACTTTCACAAATATATCCATTTTTGTGCAAATTATTTAGCTAAATAACTGTATCGTACTGCAAAATTTGGTGAAGGGGGAATTTCAAAGGACAGCTGTGTTTTGGTTCACATATTGTTCTGGAAAGAGCGAATCAGGTAGGTTTGCTTTTAAATGCAAACTTAATTGACTTTTCCCCCTCATCCCTAACTGGGGCTCCTGTTTTCTCCCCACTATTGTAGGTCAGCTGTAGTGTTCTGCAACAAGTGCAGTGTAGCCTTGGGTCGAAAAAGTTTCTCTTCCGCTGCAGTAGAAGGTAGCTGTATATCAGGTGTTTGGCCCTCCAAATGTTGCTGAACTAGAACTCCCATCAGTTGCAGCAAGCATGGCCAGTGGCTAGGGAGAATGGGAGTTGTAGTTCCCAAACACCTGCTCTATGTGCTA